CTTCATCCAGGGCAAAATCTTTTCCACAAGATCGAAATGGAATTACTGGGAAAGAGTGGGGAGGGATAGTCCCAACTTAAATAGAATTATAGTAGCATTTAAGTTGATTGTATCATGTATTGGTACTACAAGTGTAAAACAACTACAGGTTTAAAACATTACAGCTTTCATATGATGTCAATTTATATTTCTCTTTACTTGACCTGGTTCCTACCTTGTTCACAATCAGCATTGAGGAGGATCTGCTCAGGTCTTAGCTAGGATGTTTGATTTTTCACAAACACAGATTACATTTGTATCCTAATATATTTTTGACAGGACTGTGTCCAGTCATTAAGGAAAACCACAGAGATCCTCTAACACTGCCATGGCTATAGAACATTTTTCATTGGCATTCAACTGCTACAGAAAGTGCACCCATGGGCAATTCCCTCTGCCAACAAATTTAACAGCAATACCATGATCAAGCTTCAACTGAGAGAAAAATCTGGGAAGGAATGTACTTTCTCTCCTGATCCAGCAAAGCCTGAAGTTTCAGACCATCAGGACACCTCACAAGGTTCATCCATTCCACTGTGAGGAACCTCCTTCCAAAGCTGACATTACAATTGCTTTGCTCATGTTTCAGCATTGTTGGATCCAGGTATCTCATGCTAGCACATCTTTAATTTCCAAAACTAGATTTATTTATGGAGCAGACTACTTCCTTTCTGGAAAGGTTATATACCTTTCATCACCTGTAATGAATATATAGCTTAATGAATTCATCAGGAGCCTGATGGAAAGATCTTGAAATGAAGTGAAATCTGTTCAACAGTTTGCTGCCTGGAGAAAATACAGAACATTCAGCTTGGACACAAAGGAGGATGCATTTGCATTTAACAGCCAATTTTAAGCAAGAAATTCAATGCTTCTCTGCCTGGGCCCCATGATGTGTGCAGCCTCAGCTAGGCTTTGATCCAAAACCCTTGACCTAACTCTCCGAGGTACAAAGACTGTAGCACAGGAATTGTTTGATATAGATGCTCTCTAAATTGTTTCCCAGAGAACATTCAAATAAAACAGGCATTGTACTTCAGTAGCCAGCCCTGTCCTTCTGTAGGAAAGCTGACATTCATTTACAGAGAGGGCAGCAAAGTTGTCCAAGGATCATCAGGTGCTAAAGAGAAGGGCAGGGCCTTCCTGCTGTCCAGCACATCCAGGAAGATGAGGAGATCACTGAAACCATGCAGCAATGAGTAATCAATTGTTCCGAGTGAGATTTTCTGTGCTACCATGTCTGCACACTTTATAAATCATTGACAGGTTTGTTATGCAAGTGGTCACTGGTACCTTGTAAACAGAGCTTCTCCATGCTCTGTTGATCTTTCCACTGCAATTTGTTGCAGGTCTAATAGCTGTTTAAATAATTTCTGACATGGAAAAAGCCCAGGCCGGATCCAAAAGTGTAAAGCAGAAATCTTAGGCTTAGCTGCTAAATCCAGGCAGCTACCACTGAGCTCAGAGCATCTGCATTCAAGTGCTTGGCATTGTCAGTGCAGCACACTCAGAGCCTTCCCAGCAAGTTCTGACTGTCACTTCCAATGCCTCCATTTAGGGGATCACAACTGGAAATTCTGGGACATTCAAAAAGGGAGGTGAAACTTCAGAGTGGAATTGCTAAACAGGCTGTTTAACCTCTTGGGTTCGGTCTGTCTGCACGTAAGGGACAGAAATAGTTCCTTCAGGAGGTCAGTTTTTCATTATTTTAATTATTATTGTTGATGCTGCCATTGGTCATAATTACCAGACCAGATAATTGTCAAATCAGTAACATGAGTTTATGTCACCTGGCTACTTGGAAAGTAGATTGGTTCCTTTTCCTTGCTTTCTGTGATGATGAGAAAATCTAAATATACCTGGGCTGATAACACCAAATGCTGTGTACACTGGCAGCCCCTGGAAACAAAGTTTAGTCAGATGGCAATAGATTTCAATAAAATACTCTGGATTTACACCAAAAGGAATGAGAGCAGACTGAATTTTTATTAAATTCACCTGTGTTTGTAATCACAGGCTTACTAGCCTACTACCAAAATTTCATCTAAAAGGCATCAGTGCTAGTGGCAAAAATAGCATTCTGGCCAGAACAAATATTTTACTTTCAGTAAATAAATTTTCACCTTCCTGCCTAAGAATAATGTTGTTGAGCTACAGCTGAAAAGCTCAGAAGCCTTTGCTTCCAATATAAGCTACTAATGAATGTAAGGGACACTCACTGCAGTTCAAGATCGAGCAGATCTTCCAATGAGAGGCTAGGAACTCCACAGAAGCATGATCTAATGGAAAAAATATGATTGAATGCAACCTTGGTAGAAAAGTTCCTTATATTTCCCTTTTTCAAGGGACATTTTTACTGGTATAGCATTAGCTAATTCTGGGAAATGTCAAGTCTGCCTACAAAAGGATTAGGAAAAGGGGTTTAGAAAAATATGACATATAAATCAAGGTTAGCCATAAAATTGCAAAAGATAGGGGTTTTTTAAATTATTAGTATTTTTTTTGAAAAACCAGGGCACTCCATTTTCATCAAGTGTCTGCTCTATACCCTTTAGCATAACTTAATAAGCAGAAACACAGGAAAAGAAAAGGCAGTAAAACGCAGATATGGATGTTTATCTGGGAAGGTTTTAACTTTGCCATGAAACTGATATACCTACAGAAAATCCATACTGAAACCTCAGCCTGAGCACCTACCTCCCTGCCCTGCCACACCTATTTTCCTGCATTTTCATTTTTCAGCATGTAGGAGGGTGTTGCAGCCTGGAGGACTAAATGAGGCATCTGGGATCTCAGTGCCAACAACACACAGAGGTCACTCAAGCCATACTCCTCAGGTCCTCACTCCATCCCAGAGCATCATTCCAGCTGCAGGAGGCTGTTGTGTGCATCACTCCTGGTGTGGCAGGAAATTGGTCCTGGCATGGTGTACATTTTCCCTTGTTATCGTTATTTTCATTCACAGAAACAGTTTAATAACCAGCAAAGGGAGAAAGTGCCTTAAGCATTAGGATGTTTTGTCTAGGATCCTGGCTCCAAGCCTGGAATTTTTGTCATTAGGTGATATGATAACAATAGCAAATAATCATGATAATACCAATATGATAAACAATATCAGAAGATAAAAGTAACACAGTGTAAGCACTCTTTGACTATTTTGTCTTTTTCTCACTTGCATTATGGCACACCACTGATTATCTGCTTTCCTGTATGAGTCACCTCAAGTTATATCATTTAGTCTTCCAGAGGGTTCAGAGGATATCATAAACCATGGAGAGCAAAGCTTGCTCTGCACCCTAATGTAATCTCAAGTGCCTGGTGCTATAATTGTCTGCCTGCTGACTGTTCTGCTTATGGGGCATTTAAAGCAAAGGAAAACAATGCCTGACTGCAATTTTTTTCCTCCATTCATACTCCTCTTTAGACCTGATGCTTTCTCTCACCTTCTCTTGCCCATCTTTCCATTGCTCCCTTGTCCTTCCTTTTCTCAGCCTCCTTCCTTCCTCCTCAGTCTCCAGGGTGAAATGAATCCTTTCTTTTTCATAAGCCTGAGACTGAACTCATGTCCACAGAACCCTCTAAAAATTATTTGGGCTCCTTCAGGGAGGTGAGGTAACCTATATTCTTAACTAACAGCCATAAAATCTTCAAGTGCACCCAAGAATGCTCTGGGCATAGAGTCCAAGTGACTGTGGAGCCATGCAGCAGATCCCACCATAAACACAACCAAACCAAGCAGAAACCACAGAAAATGTGCAAGAATGCATTGAAATATCAGCTATATCCCTCCTCCATCCCTCCCATCTGCTCCCCAGACTAGTGTCACAAAAATATTTGGTAAATGTCATGTAACCATCATTTAAATGTATTAATTCATCTAGTTTTCATTCCATCTACTTCCTGAATACAGTCAATAAATTATATATGTTTATGTCCAATATTTTGGAAATGTTTATAATCCAAAAGCTTCCAATTTCCTTTTTTTTTTTTTTTTTTTTTTTTTTTTTATTTTTTTTTTTTTTTTTGTAGAAGTTTTGTATTGCTAAGGCAGAAGATAGAACAGATTTCAGTGTATCATTCTGGTGTAACAGGATGGATTTGTTCTAAGGAACCCAAGTTAGGAAAAGATTTTTTTTCACATCTACACATAGAGTGTCTGTGCATTACATTTCAAGCTTACACCACATGGGGGTTTTTAATTCTATTTGCACAAAATTTGTGTATGCAAACTGCCACTGCACTCCTTATGCACACAGTTCTTTACACACTTTCCTCTGAAAAAAAATATTGCATTTTGCAAGTGTTGTAAAATTATCAAATATCATTCCATTGAACATCAAAGTGGGTGAAGACTTTTTTCCAAAGTGTGGGCTAAATTAAATTATTCAGTCCTGGTATAAAATAGGCCAAAAGGCATAAAAATAGTCTAATAACAAGACTCTACTATGATCAGCTGATACCAAAAAGCAGGTGTTTAAATATTTTTTAAATTAAGTCAGTGTTAATTCATTGTTGTGTTGTCTGCTCCATGAAATCCAATTTGAAATTCAGTGTCTGCCTATGCTGTATTTTAGAAACACTTTCCCACAATTTCTGAATGATCAAAAATGCAGCCACACTAAAAAGGTGCTCCTCTCTAGCACTTCATGCTGCAGGTTATGACATGATCTTTACTTCCACTATTCACTCTTTATTCTGTAAATAATAGATAATTATACATTATATAAAATGGTAATTATTGTTCATTTCATCATTTTTGAAGAGCTACCTGCAAAACACAGCTACCTGTGAAATGCATTTGTCACTACAGAACTTATTTTTTAAATACCATATTTACAATTAGGGATAAAGGAAAAAAAAATGTGCACAATTACAAAGTTTGTTCAGGCAATGTGACACACAGAAGTCTTCAGCCTGTAAGGTACGTTAGGGATGGCCCAAGGAGTTCACACCTAACTTACCTGTGGTGACTGGAAACAACAGGAGTGAAGTGAAGCTCATCTCATGACCAAAGGAGTTTGTTGCTCTCAGCTCCCAACTTGTGCCCCACAAAATGCTGTAAGAAACCAATTTTCAAGTTTGCACTTGAAACCATGCTAAAGGTGAAGGGCCTCAAACCCTGCAAGGCACTTACAGCCAGGCATCCCTTGCAAGTTTTAATGAGTGATGGAAAAGTTAGAAAGCAGGGCCATAATTTTTCAAGCATTTGGAGGCCTGAGTAATGTTAACACGAGTGCAGAACAGAAATGTTTTTCTTTTAATCAGGTTCTGAAGCAATGCCAGCACCATCCCAGCATAAAGGCACAGGGTAGCATTCAGAAAACACCAAAATGCTGATCTGTGGTACCACCCAGTGCCTGCTGTAAGTCACAGAGCACACATTACATGTTACAGACACTGTACAGTCTCACTGGAATAAAGGTGGTCTTGCTTTTCTTTCCAAAAGTGAAAGGTGTAATTCTGCTACTTTTCTGTGAACATTTTTGAAGCAATGACCACGGGTTCCAGTCCTATCTGCAGGAACAATCTGACTTGCCTGCATTTTCCCATACTTATGGTTTACATTCAGTTCTCAAAAATGGTTCAAAACTACCAAACCCACAACAGCTGTTTTCAGAAACAAGCATTTCTTATCATTCAGTATCAAGCATCAGAACCCATTAGGGTATGGAAGGAATGCCACAAATGAACTGGGTTTCTAGAATCCTAGGAGATTTGTTTCAGTTTCTAATCAAACTGGTTCCCAGACTTAATTCAATCAGCCTTTATTTTTCCTACACTTGGCAGGAGAAGGACATTTTTTTTTTTTTTCAGAAGCAATTACTGTAAATATAAATGGCTAAGCACTCAAGCAGTATATTAACAATTCTAAATCTTTTTCTTCTGCTCTTGATCATAAAAACCCTTCCATGCAAGCAACAGTAATGCCCCTTTTTATAGCATAAAAAGTATAAAGAAAGACCATCTGGGTTGGCATGCCTCCCTTTCTCATACTCTACAGAGATTCAAGGTGACCCCTTCCAATGTTTCAGACTCCCTGATCCCTTTCAAAATTACTGGAGACTTCTTCCAGCTTATCTTATTCACAGGATCTTTTAAAGTGCATCACATGTATTAGAGATGATGGAAGAGGAAAGAGGGAGAATTATATGAACTGAAACAGTTGCTATGACCCCTGTACATTTCAAGCTCATTTTGAAACAAATTTGTCCAGTTAGAGGATAGTGACTTCCCATATTAAGATCAACAAGGGGGAAAAGTATGTGAGACTGACTTTCACTGCTAAAGCAGCTTTAAATGTTAATCATGTGGTGACACAACATGCTTAAGTGTTGAAAAGACAGGACCCTGCCGTAATCAAAGTGACACTGCAAGAAAAGCCTACTTTAAGCAGGGAAAAGCTTTAGGTTTGTACAATGGGCTTCCCAGATAAAACAGCACAGGCAATTGCAGTAGTACAAATATATATATACACACTCATAAAGAAGGGGATAGGAAAATAAAGAGATGCAGGCTTAATTTCCAAGAGTGAAGTAGTGAAGATGGTTTATATTCTTGAGCTGAAAATAAGAACTGAATTAATAATTATCATCAGAACCTGAACCATCAAATATGTGTTCACTTCTGGTGGCAGACTTGCAAGTGATTAAGTATTTTTACACTATTTCAACAACAAGATCACTTAACCCCATTTACAACCAAGAAACACCATTGATTACCTAAAATTAGGGAAAATTCCTTTTCTTGTACTTCAGATGTGTGAAGTCCTTTTCTTTTACTTCAGCTGAGAGTGTCAGAAGTCCCTGGCAGAGAAAAGGAAGAAGGTTATTATTAAAAGGTAGCAGCACCTCTGAAGAAGTACACCACATAACAAACTACTACCCAGACACAGTGTGAGGTGACAGGAAAGTTCTTCTTACAGGAAATTCCCCAATTATCCTAATTTAATGGTGCATATTTTAAACTAAGGAAGGTCTCTCCCTTACAACATACATTAAAAGAATATTGACCTCATAAAGTATATAAAGTATAACCACACAGGCAAAGAATTATAAAAACTCTATGAGAAAGGACAGGCATCCTCCCTTGCCAGCTGGTGTTGAAGAGGTATCAGAAGCAGACCTCTGCATTTCTTCCCTTTCCTAAATTCATAGCACTACCCTCACATCCTTCAGCACTGGTTTTACTAAGAATAGTGCTATAGAATTTTCACACCAAATGAAAATACTGAATATAAATGTTTTAAACAGACCAAAAGAACAGATCAGGACCACGGCACCTGCAGCAGAAACACAACAGAGATAATGTTTATTTTTATGATTTTCATTTTGACCATTTGGTTTCATTACATTTTATGAAGAGCCTTTTAAAAATCTTTTAACACCTGGTTACATTGTTTTTCTTTTATTACATGAAGAAAGGCTGTGATGTCTACCTGTATTTCATTTAATAAAGTCTCTTATGCTGTAGCACAAAGCATTAGGAAGTTACCTAGTTCCTAAAGAAAAGCTCTTTAATGCTGACATTGTTGAACTTACTCATGTTTCCTTCTTATTTATTCAAGTCAACTTCTGTAACATTTCCTTATCCTGGATTTTCATTCTATTTAACCAACATAAAGGCAACCCTTCACAACCTAAGATGAACATCTTGTATTTGCATGGGGCTTTTTTTTAAGGTTTAATTAGACACTTTAACAATGTCAAGTTGTTAGGCAACAATTTACAGTCGGGATGGGTTACAAAGGAAGCTCCCAGATCACAAAGGTCCCAGAGCTTTTGAATGGTTTCTCCACTTTTTTGTCTGTGCACGCTGCTGTGTGCTTAAAGAGTGACATCACTCATCTGCATTATTGTGCTGTACATTCATCAAAGTACTGATTAGAATCTAAAAGTTCTCAAATAGCAGTAAGATTTAGTAATTTGTAATCAGATACATAAGAGTGAACAAAAGGAAGTATCAGTGCTTTCAAAGGGAGTTTGTGACCTTCTGGTGCAGGTTCTGGAATGACTTTCTCTGCTGATTTTAAATTGTACCTGAATGGCAATATTAACAAAGCAGCTGGATGTATATTCCAGCTGAGAGGAAGTCAAGAATCTACTCTGTAATTACATTTTGATACTTTAATGTTTTAGGAGTATTAGTACATGAGAAGGCAGAAAGACATGAGCAGCTAAGTACAGTGAGAGTCTCAAATTTTTCATTTGCAGTGGCTAACATTTGTAGTGGTGATGTTCTAGTTTCCCAGGGGCATGCTGCTGCATTTTGACCAGTTTGATGCCATGGAAGCTTTGTCTTCATCACAGATCCGTAATGTGCATGTGTTCATACTACATGAAAAATGTTATGATAGCTGACATTAAATATATGTGGTGGGTATGAGCTCTCTCTCTCTCTGAGGCCAAGGAGAAGATTTCAATCTATATTATGGTATGAAACAAGCCAAGCTTTTTATTTTTATTTCTATCACAAAGAAACCCATTTCAATAGCAAACTTGTCTCCCTTCAGAGCAGCTCTCATGTCTGCATAAATGCCAATAAATCACTCCATACTTGACTATTCTAGTGCACAACACATCCCAAGGAAAGTTTAGGGTTTCAAGTCGAGACATCTTTGTCAATGACCTCAAGGCTCTCACGGATCTCAGGTGGAACCCAGCTCATGAGTTCCCTTCTCACTTTCAGCCTCCCAGGCAGTATCTGCTGCTTCCAGTGTTTCATTAGGTTATTGCCTTGCTTACAAAATGCAGATGGTGTTTAGATGACAGGCAGGGGCCTTGTTCCCACCCAGCAAGGCCCGTGTCTCTCTTTTGAAGGTACTGACGGCGTATTTCAGTGCAGATACTTGGTCACCACCTCCCACAGCCAGACAAGGATCCACAAGAATCTCTGGACTTTCCATCCCAGGCAGGGGCCTGCAGGGACCCCACTCAGCAGCTCGGAGCTGCTTCAGACTGTTCAAAATTGTCTTCAGCTGCAACATCCTCCCAAGGGCTGCTGCAGCAGCTGGGGCTTGCCAGAGTACACAGATGGTGTAAACCTCCCTCCTGGCCAGCCTCAGCTACATCCCAAGGATGCTCCCCCCATGGAAGGCACAGCAAGAGGATGCTGCAGGGGCCAAGCTCCTGAAGCTCAGGGGTACTGAGCAATTCCCTTGTGCAAGGCAATGGATGTAAGCTCAGCACTACTTCTTGCAGACAGGGATTCTCCCCACACACACTGCTCTCATTAAAGGAAAGTTGCCATGTGTTAGATAACCCTAAATTATCAGCGAGAAGGAATGGTGGGAAGCATTTCCTTCACATGACTGGATGCTGAGCACTTTACTTAGGTTTTAAAAATCCCACATCAAGCAGCTTCCCACAAAACGCACAGATGTCCATTTGTACAGCTCAGGGGGTGAAAAGTTCCTGCATATTCCGGGAATACAGCTACATGTCTGCACATCCACAGATTTTGGAAACACTACTGGCTGCTTCTATTTCCAAAGGTTGAGTTCATACTGTATTGTAACAGATCATTTCAGTAGGTCAGAGAGAACATGAACTCAAGGTCTGGAAGGAAGGTCCCTTACGGGGGCTCTCAGAATCTGCTGTTGTTTTCAGCTGCAGCCTTGTTTTTCAGAGCTCTGCCAGCAGCAGCAGCTCCTGCTCACAGAAGCAATTTGATTTTTGGCCATTTTTACAAAGCACACATTTCCCATTCTGCAACCCACGTTCTGCCTTTGTTCATTGTCATTAAAACTTCACTAACAACAGGCAGGGGTGTAAATGAATGGAGACTCTGCTCCCCTCTTCTGTTTCCTGAACTCCAGCCAAAATCATCGCGTTTCATACATCCTGAGTAAAATCATAAATCCTTCCCCACGGGGAGCAGGGTGTTCCCCTTGGAAGTAAGCCTGTGGTTCCAAACTACTTCAGGAATATAGGCCAGGTTTCTAAAACTGAAACAGAGACATGTCTGACTTTTTTTGTAATACATAACTTTTGCTTCCTTTTCTCTGAAAACAATGCTTTGCATGTTTTTAAA